CCTAGGTTCAATTCCTCAGTACCACATAAACAAACAAAAATTATACATGACATATATAATGCAAACTCAATTCTGATTCATTAAAAGCAACTTCTATGTGATGAGCCCTTACTGTGAAGTTCACATATGTAAAGGTAATATGGAAACAATGACCTGACCCTGACTCTGTATTTTGTGTCGTTTTTGTTGTGGGGCTTGAACTCAGGGCCTGGGTGTTGTGCCTAAGCTGTTTTTCACTCAAGGCTAGCACTCTACCACTTTGAGCCACAGCTCCACTTCTGGGTTTTTGTGGTGGTTAATTGGAGATAAGAAGCTCATGGATTTTCCTGCCCAGGCTGGTTTTGAACTTTGATCCTCAGATCTCAGTTTCCTGAGTTGCTAGGATTACAGGCATGAGCCAACAGCATTTGGCCAGTGACCCAACTCTGGATGGGGAGATAAGCATTCACTAAGTCTGATGTGAGGACTGCCCTAATCACTGTATTGACGAGTCCAGTATGTAAAGCATGGTGCCATATGCATTTACCTGGCTGAGACCCTTGGATGGGAGGCAGTTGGCTGGATACAATGTCTGGGTTCACACGTACTATTCGACCTGCTCATCAGACAGAAGTGCTTTGGGGAAGTATGGCCCCCTTTCTCTGTTCCTACAAAAGTGCAAAGAGCCGGGATAACTTTTATCAGTGAGTAGCTCCTTAGAATTCTGACAGTGCAGCAAGTTCCACAAAAGCTTGTTTAATTCACACCTAGGAATAATGAGAGAAAAGGCTGTGAGTTTCTCTTCCCATACACTAATGAGAAAAGTGAGAGGAGAGTCTTTCTGGGGGTGGGGGGAGGGAGGGAGGCTGGCAACACACACACACACACACACACACACGGGTGAGGTGTGTTTCTGTGGGGGGGAACACACCTCAGACAAGATATATGTACAAGACTTTATAACAGTAAGTCTTTATAACCGTAAGTCTTGATAAGGCTCTCTGAAAGTCTGTAGAGTCGACAGAAGAGGTGCTGGACTGTGTATTCACTGCTGAGGTGAGGCATCATTCGGAGGCTGCAGAATAACCTCACGGGGTACAATAGTCAGTTATGGTCTCATTTTTGTGTATCATATTCTGGGTTCAGGTATTAAATTCTAGAAAGCCATTCTGACTGAGATTTCTGTATGATAGGTTATTTTTTTAAGTCATCCTTTTTGCTTTATGTTTTTCTGTATTATGTTGTTCTCAGTTAAAAAAAAGTGTGATTTTCATAATAGAATATTAAAACCACTTCCATTCTGAAAAACAGAGAAAGGCAACCTTCCACTGGTGAAGCTGCCTCAAGGTCAACAAACCAACAGAGGCAAGTCAGCGACAAATGTTCCAGGTTCACAGAAACATACCGCACTCATGCATGTACCCCCCCCCACACACACACCAAAACATACCTCACACTTTCTTTTAAAAACTACTTTATCAAATACTGAGTAAATGTATAAGATTAAACCCATGGTTAAATAGAAAGAGTATAAAACATTGCCTTTTGTATACTATTTCTATATTACGTTTCTTTCTCCTCCTCCCTCTTCTTCCTCTACCTCCTCTACCTCCTCCTCCTCTTGTTCTTCTTTCTCCTTCTCCTTCTCTTTCTCCTCCTCCTTCCTTTTGGTGAGTAAGTTTTTCCCATTCCATTTCCCCCTTCCTCTAGTTTACAGCACCCATAGAAATCATAATACCCATTCTGAACTAAGTCTAAAATGAATGTATTCATCATTCAGAATTTCTTAGTTCTAAAGCTCTCTGCTGAGAGTCCCATGCTTTAATTCTATCTTGTTTGGGTTTTTTTTCCTCCCGGTCCCACAGTTAGATCTGCAATTGTTTTTACACTATAATGCTTATTTAGATTTACACATCAGTTCTTTTCTATACCTCACACTTTCATTAGAATTATTTTTCTCCTTTCTCATGTATATTCTTTGGATTTCCTCCCATGAAGGCTTGTTGGTGGTGGTTCAGTCTTTTGCTCTTTTCTGATGTGTCTTATTTTTGCCCTCCTTTCTTGAAAACTACTTGTTTTAGTTTTAATTTTTGCAATGCTGGGAAAGGAACCCAGGGCTTTGAGTTTGTGAGCAAGTGCTCTACCACTGAGCAACATCCCCAACCCTGGAAAATAGTTTTAATGAGGCATAATGTGCTTCTATAAATCCCTTCCTGTCAGGTGGATATGAAGATGATTTTTAATGTTTGCGGGCCATGTAACAACCACTGCAGTCTAATTTTTGAACATTTCCATCATCCCCAAATAATGTCTCATCTGGAGTTAATCTCCACTGCAACCCATCGTCAGCCCAGCATCAGGCAACTAATAATCTGTTTTCTGTCTTTCCTGAACATTACTTGCAAGTATAGTATAGTATAATATATAAATATGTATATATATATATACACATATATATATAGCCTTTTGTGTCTGGAGCCTTGCATTAAGCATGTTTTTGAAGTTCATATATATTGTAGCATGGGCCAGTCAATATTGTATTTCACTGTCTTTTATTATCCAGTAGTGTCCCTGTGGATGGCCACCCCACATTTTGTAGACAGACATTCATTCACAAGTGGATAGGCATTAAATGACTAGGGAGGAAATTATTGGGTCATATGGTTGATTTTTTTTTTATTTTTTTGTTGGTTGTGGAGCTTGAACCCTGGGCCTGGACGCTGTCCTTGAGCTCTTTAGCTCAAGGCTAGCGCTCTACCACTTGAGCCACAGCTCCCACTTCCGGCTTTTTCTGCTTATGAGGTGCTGAGGAATCGAACCCAGGGCCCCATGTATGCGAGGCAAGCACTCTACCACTGAGCCACCTTCCCAGCCCAGTTGATGTATTCTTTTTTTTTTTTTTTTTTTGTTGGTCGTGGGGCTTGAACTCTGGGCCTGGGCGCTGTCCTTCAGCTCTTCAGCTCAAGGCGAGCGCTCTACCACTTGAGCTACAGCACCACTTCCGGTTTTCTGGTGGTTTATTGGAGATAGGAGTCTCACGGTCTCTCCTGCCCGGGCTGGCTTTGAACTGCGATCCTCAGATCTCTGCCTCCTGAGTAGCTAGGATTACAGGCGTGAGCCACCAGCGCCCGGCTATTGATGTATTCTTAACATGTCAAGAACCTGCCCAACTATTTTCCAAAGTTGACTGCACCAGTTTACCCACAACGGATACTAGATAGAATACTCTTTTCCATCATTGTAGACTTTGTTGCTGCTGTTAAGAAACTACTGTGTCGGTATGTTATTTTTTCCTAAATAGTCTGGTTTATGAATCTCTGGCTGCTTTTTAAGTACTCTGTTTGGTATTCCTCAGTCTTACTGTGTTGCATCTGCATGCGATTCTTATTTGTTTGTGCATTCTATGTAAGGTTCATCTTACTCGGAGTCATTATTTCATTTATTTTCTCTGTTTTATTGTCAGTTTTCTATCTCTCCAAAACTTTACTGAGCTGTCCATTAGAGTTTATCCCTGTGGCCTACATGTCTCTTAGCTTTTCTCTCATCATTTTCTACTTATTTTCTCCTGTGCAGATTCTACATAATATCATCAGATCTATTTTCCATTTCTTTTTCTTTCTTTCTTTCTTTTTTGGTCATGGGGCTTGAACTCTGGGCCTGGATACTGTCCCTCAGCTCTTCAGCTCAAGGCTAGTGCTCTACCACTTGAGCCACAGCACCACTTCCAGTTTTCTGGCAGTTTATTGGAGATAAGAGTCTCACAGACTTTGAACTGGCTTTGAACTGTGATCCTCAGATCTCAGCATCCTGAGTAGCTAGGATTACAGTCACGAGCCACTGGTGCCTGGCTGCTTTCCACTTCTAAAGTTCTTTCTTCAGCTGTATCTAATATGCTATTGAATCCATTACGTACTAGCTGTTATTGCAGGCAGAATAATGGACCCTTCAATAATATCAGTATTATATTCTCCAGAAGCTGGAGACAGGTGTCAACCTTATATGACAAAAGATATGGAGGGCTGAGACAAAGGGACATTAAAATAGGGATGTTGTTCTGGGTTATCCTAGCAGGCCCAATCTAATCACAAGAGCTCTTAAAGAGGGAAACAGAGCGTTGAAGTGGCAGAAGAAGGAGATTCAAATGATTAAAGGCACTTAATCTGTCCTTTCTGCCTTGGAAGGGATAGGGGAAGGTTACCAGGAATGCTTCTAGAAACTCTGGAGGACCCTCAGCTGATAGCTAGCAAGGAATTGGAGATCTCAGTCCTACAACCAAAATAAATGAGTTCTGCCAGTAATATACCGAGCAAGGAAATAAATCTTTCCCAACCACTTACAAGAAATCTAGCCCTGCCAACACCTTGATTTTAGCCCAGTGAGATCTGTGTCATACTTGACTCACCAAACTATAAGATAGTAAATTTGTGGTGTTTTAAGCTGCAGACTTAGTGGTAGTTTGTTATAGCAGTGATAAAACACTAATATAGGTTCTAAGTTTTAGAACCTATCTTTTTTTTTCCAGATGTTCTGGTTTGTTCTTTTTTAAGTACGTTATTCATGTGTATAGTTTTCTATTTCATTCTCATAGCTAAATAGAATGAAGTATCACAGGTAGACTCTTTCTACATCACCCATTTCCTGAGGGCACAGCCCCAGTCTGTCTCAGATTTAGGTTTAGATTTAGAACATCAGGGTCAGTTGATGTCCCCAGAGTACAGTCTGACGTAATACCTCTGGATTCCAGTTTTCACTCTGCGTTTTGTTGACTTGGAGGATTTTTTTTTAATTTAGTGTCTTTGATTGTAAGGTAATTGTACTCATCTCTTCGAATCTTACCGGTGTTTTCTGTTATCTTTAGAAAGGTTGTTCATGAAAGCATTCTCATCATCTTGTTCAGATGGGCGTCTCACCCTTTCCTTAAGGTGACTGCGCAGAGGTGTAACTCCTCTATTTGCAGGATGCAGATGTACAATTTCAGTAATATCACCGTATCTCACTAAGGCTTCATTCCTTACTGCCAGGTATCAGAGCAACACCGCTTCCGACGTTCTTGAAACAATTACCAACATTCAGCCCAAAGAGAGCGGAGGAGGAGTGGGGGAGACCCGCGAGGCCATCGTGTACAGGCTGTCTGAAGACATGTTGAGCAAGCTGCCCCCGGATTACATTCCCCACGAGGTGAGCCCCACCCCTGCCCACTGGTATCCGGGCTCCACCCAGCTGAGCACAGGCCTGGGTGGTATGGGTCAGTCACTCCTTCTCTCTGCCATTCCCCCTTCATTTTCAACATGCATTTTACCCTTGGTTCTCTTCCTTACCCTCCCTCAAGCATCCTCTGAATTATGACTGCCATTCATCTGACCCCTTTCCCCATTGTCTTTCATGCCTTGAACCAGGAACTTCCAACCTCTGAGACTTGGGTAGCTGGGACCACAGGCATGTACCACAACACCCAGTGTTCTCCATTTGTGTGTGTGTGTGTGTGTGTGTGTGCGCGTGTGCGCACGCGCGCTCCAGTCCTAGGGCTTGAACTCAGGACCTAGACACTGTCCCTAAACTTTTCCACTCAAGGCTATAGGGCTCTACCATTTGAGCCACATCTCCATTTCAGGCTTTTTGGTAGGTAATTAGAAATTAAAAGTCTCATGGACCTTCCTGCATGGGCAGCCTTCGAACCACAATCCTCAGAGTTCAGCTTCCTGAGTAGCTAGGATTATAGGCATGAGCCACCAATGGCTCGCTAAATTTCTGTGTGTGTGTGTGTGTGTGTGTGTGTGTGTTTAACCTTAAAACACCTTTACAAAGTAATCTATCATTCAAAAAGATTTTCTATTTGACAAATATAATAACATTTTAATATTTAAAGTACTATACATCTTTATTGATATTTTAAATATTAAATTATTTTAAAAGAATGGTAATAAACCCAATTTACATGTTAACATAAATGACACTTTGTTTTTTAAGGTAACTATTTTCAGAGGCAAAAATTTTATGAAGATGTGTGTGGATTATCCAGGTCTATAATCTCAGGTACTCACAAATCAGAGATAGGGAGGCGTGCATTGGCAAAAGTTAGAAGATGAGATCATCTCAACAAATAATCAGTGGGTGTGGTAGAGCACACATAGTCCCAACTAGTTGGGAAGTTATATTCTAAATCACATAGCCTCTGATGAACCCCACTGCAAACTCCTGAGGGAATGAAAGAGTCAACTAATATGTTTCTGGTATTACAAAAGCAATCCACTCTAGATTCATATTTATTTATGGTAGAATGTCAGACTGCTCTTAAAATTCAGGAACCCTTCAACTCAGCCTCCTTCATGCAAGTGGGAAGGGTTCTGTTTTCTGTCTAGCCTGAGCCTCCTCTTTCCTGTTCTTACTATTGCTGGACATAGCTTTGCCTGAATCCAACACTGGCCTGGGTCAGATTTAACATCTTGATGAACAGGTCAGCGGCTAATGGCTTCACCATTCTCGGGCACCTGGCAGCCAGGAGCCCTGAGGCTGCCTGGACTCCAGGCCTCCAGCCTGCTGCTGGTTATGGTTTGGAGCCTGCGCTTCTTTTGAAGCTTAGCATCTGGCTCTCCTGCTGCCATTTTTCTTCCTAGAGTTGACGATAGAGTTGTTGGTTTTCTCCTAGAGTTGACATGTTGCATTTGGCTGGGTCAGTGAAACTCCACTCTAATCATTTACCCGTACATCTGAACAGAAGCTGTTTACCATGGAGAACAGTAACCTACCTGTCCTAAAATGCCTGGCAGATGGCCTATCTAGCAAATTTCCATCAACTACATTACTAAACTCTCATGTTCATTTAGCTTAGCCATTTTTCAAAACTTCAAAACAAAAAAAAAAGTTATTCTCTCTTTTTTTTTTGGGGGGGGGGGTCTGGTTGTGGGGCCTGAACTCTGGGCCTGGGTGCTGGCCCTCAGCTCTTCAGCTCAAGGCTAGCGCTCTACCACTTTAGCCACAGC